GAGGATTAATGACAACGCATACAAGTTGGAGCTTCTTGGTGAGTATAATATTAGTGCTACTTTTAATGTTTCTGATCTTTCTCCTTTTGATGTAGGTGACGATTTGAGGACAAATCCTTTTGAGGAGAGAAGGAATGATGGGAATCAAGACGACAGCATATCTACTACGTCATGTGATCCATTACACACCCAAGGAGGTCTAGTCACGCGAGCTAGAGCTAAGAAGATGCGCGAAGTTTTAAATGGCCTTATTGAGTAGATCTGGGTTGAAAACAACATACAACAAGCAAATCGAAGCTTGGATGATTATCAAGGCATGGTAAATATCATTCAGGTTCAAGAGAAGCTTAGTTGAGGTCATTTGCACATAATTACACAATTTGCGTAAAAATCGCACAATTCTGCCGCAATTTGTAATAGACTGATATTTTGTGTTATTTTAGGTTATTTTTAGTGGTTTTCACATTTTTTGTATTATTTTTGGGCTGAACATTCGCTTATTTGAAGCCCAATTCGTGGTTATTAGGTTTAGGACTTAGGGTGTTAATTTCCTATTCTGATTAGGATTTGTTTTCTCTATTTAAAAAGCTTGCAACCCTAATAGGGATGAGGCTATTGAATCTGAGATTTTGAGAGACTTTTCTCTTTGATTCGTTTCAAAACTTTACAGAAGTTATCAAGATTATTCTTGTGGTGTTCTAACTTGACTTATCATTCTCGTTCTTAATCGTTTGAGGGTGTGGCGTCAACCAACTTTATACCTCTGGTTCTTGTTGTGTCATAGACAACGGGTCAAGGTTTTTTACCTTTGGTTTTTGTTGCGACATAAACAACGGGTCAAGGTCCTATTGTAAACTTGATTTAGCTTTCTTGGAGTTTAGAAATCCCTTGGAGTTTAGAAATCCCTTGTCGTGCTGTGGGTCTCATTGTTCTCTTTGGGGTTCTCATCATTGTGACTTAGTGGATTGGCATCTAGCTTTGTGAATAACTTGTGACACATGAAATCCTTGCACAAAATTCTCCTAACTACTAGAGACATCTATTTTTCGGATCGAAAAATCGATTTGAAAATAAGGAGCATTGGTCTAGATAAGTTTATTTAGATCGTTATTAATTCGAATATTTGGTTTGAAAAAACCTAGTCTAAATAATTTTAATTCTAGACCAATGAAAAATCAGTCTGAATAAATATAATTTTCAGACTGACTTTGGTTTAGATAAAGGTTGACATTGTGATCAGAGACAAGCCTAACCAAACCAAAATCGGTCTGAAAAAAGATGATTTTTGAACTGACAATGGTCTAAATATTCACAAAAATTTTATATTGACTTTGGTCTGAAACACACTAGCTTTATTTAGAAAAGTGAAAATATTAGGTCCTTATGTGTCAGTACGATGAAACTATTTTCAAACCAACATGGTTCGAAAGTTGAGGCCTTATTTAGGAAATGAAAAAGTTTGGTCCTTAGGTGTCAATACAATGAAACTATTTTCACACCAAAGTTGGTTTGAAAATTAAGGCCTTATCTAGAAAAACAAAAAAAATTGGTTGTTTTGTATCAATATGTGAAACTATTTTCAGACCAACATTGGTTTGAAAATTTGCAGCCCTATTTACAAAAATAAAAAGGTTCAGTCCTTCTTTGTTATTATACCGAAATTATTTTCACCTTTCAAAAGTTACCCAAACCAATTACAGTATGAAATATAACCACTCAATAGTAAAAAAAAATTATTTACTTAATATATTATATGTCTAAAAAATTCTGAAAAAAATATTTTTTTTTTGTATACATATATTTACACATTCTAAAAACTCAAAATAATATATTAGATATTATATAATATTTACATGTATAATATTTCTTAAATTAAAAAGAAAATATAAAACATATACAAAGTTTAAAGCAAAACACCCTCATAATAATTGAAATATAATTTCTTAAATATAATTTCAAAAAAATTTAATAAAATCTATAATATAAAAAAAATACTCAAAGCTATTTTTATACCTTTAAAATTTAATCATTTCCTACAAAATAAATGAAATGGAATTAGTAAGATAAAATGGAAATAGAAAAAGCATTGAAAGATAACAAATATACATATATATAGAAGCAAAGTTTAAAACTTACCAAACTTTTCATAATAACCTACAAAAGAAAAGTTAGTAAAACAAGAGAAAATAAAATTAAATCGAACTAATGTAACAAATTAGCAAAACAAAAACATAAAAACAGGAAATATAGTCAAGAAGTACAAAGAAAAATGGAAGAAATAAAAGGGAACGAAAGAGAACAAAACAAGAACAAAGAGGAGGATTTGAGAAAAAGGAAAAGAAGAAGGGAACAAAGGGATAGGAAGAGAGGGCAACACAAAGATGAGGGAAAGAAGAGAAATTACAAGCATGAGAAAATGAAGAAAGGGGAACCAGAGAGCAAATGGGGAAGAGAAGGATAGTAGAGAAAAGGCATACCAGAAAATTCAATGCAGGAGGTAGCAAGCATGTAAATATATAGGCAAATTTATTTTGGACCGTAATTGGTCCGAAATATATTAAATTCATATCTACTGCCCATAATAAAAATTTTGAATGTAGCGAATTTTTGGTGGTTTATTATTTTAGATAGCTATTGGTTTGGATACTATCAAAAAAATTTGAATTTTCGTGTCATAAATTTGGCTGAATAGATGGTAAATATATTTGGACCAAAGTTGGTTTAAATAAAAAAACCATAAAGAAACATAAAAGAATGAAAATATATTGAATAGAAAATCCCCCCCATAAAAAAAAAAAAAAAGAAATGCTATATTCGGACCACTATTGGTCTGAATAAGTTTAGCAAAATTCTTTTTTTCCGTTGACATCCCAAACCGTGCTTGATTCATTCTACTCCCGTTCAAACAACATGCTCTAAAAGTCTTGAATGACATAGAGTCTATCCTTAAAATTAGCAATTCCAAACCTACATGTTTATGGTTTAGCAGCGACATGGCATAACTTTAAAAGTAATAATCTTTACTCTATGCATTTGCGATTTTACTATGATGTTACCTTACGCCATAGTGAAGCCATATCAGGCAACTAATTGATGGCACTGGGGTTAGGAGTGACTATAATAATGAAGTGCGTGCATTTGGTCTTAGTAGAAACAGAATCAAGGCTCGTTTGGGGGGGATTGTTCTTAAATGAAAAGAATAAAAAAGTCTCAAAGGAGAAGCTTCTAGATTTTGGGCACTTTATTCGAACCATTATTGGTCCAAATAAGTTTTCCAGACCAACAGTGGTCCGAATATGTTAAGTAGAATTTTTTTTTTCCCTTGACACCCCAAATTGTGCCTAATCTGTTCTACTCCCATTCAAATAACATGCTCTAAAAGTCTTGAATGTCATAGAGCCTAACCTTAAAATTAGCAATTCCAAGCCTAAATGTTTGTGGTGTAAGAACAACGACGTGACATAACCTTAAAAGTAATAATCTTAACTCTATGCGTTTACAGTTTTACAATAATGTTGCCTTACACCACAGTGAAGCCATTTTGGGTGGCTAACTAATGGCGTTGGGGTTAGTAGCAACTATAGTAGTGAAGTGCATGCAACTGGTTTTGATAGAAACAGAATCGAGGCTTGTTTGGGTGGGATTGTCCTTAAATGAAAAGAATGAAAAAGTCTAGTAGGAGAAGCTTTTAGATTCTTGGCACTTTATTCGGACCATTGTTGGTCCGAATACATTATTTGGACCAACAATGGTCCGAATATATTGAGCAAAATTTGTTTTTCCCTTGACACCTTGAACCATGCCCAATTCGATCTACTTCTACTCAAACAACATGCTTTAAAAGTATTCAATACCATAGAGTCTCACTCTTAAATGAACAATATTAAGCATAGATATTTATGGTTTTGGTGGAAATGAACACTACTAAAATTCCTATTTTTAGGAACTATTTATCAACAACATGTGTTTATTTGTTGATGATATAAACTTTCACTGATAAAGCCCATATTGTTGATAAATATATAGTACCTTTTCCTCCTAAAAATACACTTCACATTTAGCAACAAGGGTTATGTTGTTGAAAAAGAGAATAAGCAACATAACCCTTGTTGCTGAAATTTTTCGATGACTTAAAATGTTAGGTGGAAAGTTAAAAGACTAACATGCTTAAATATTTTGAGAGATTACCATAAATATTAATTAATTAATCTTAAATATCAAATTTATTACTAAATTTAGTTACTGTAATTATTATTAAAATATTTGAATTTAAAATGGTATCCATCCCTTCATCTTTTTCATGGATTGCTCCTCTCTTCTTCGATTCACTTTCTTCTTCCTTTCTTCCCCTTCTTCGGTGCTGGCAAACTCTTCTTCCCTTTTTCTTCTCTGATTTTGTCATAAATGATTTCCTTCTCTTTCATCCACAACTTCTTCATTACTTTGCTGTCCCTCTCTCTTCTTCCTTTTAGATCTTTGCCCTCGATTGGCTCAACCCTCTCCTCTCTACCTTAGTTCTTGCCTTCCACAAAACCCACCACCTAAGTCTATTCTCAATATGGGTTTCACAAGATTTTGGCATCCACTCAGATCTGCCCCTTGATCGGCTCAATTCTCTCCTCTCTACCTTAGCTCTTCCTTCCCACAAAACCCACTACCCAAGTCTGTTCTCAATTTGGGTTTCACAAGATTTTGGCATCCACTCAAATCTGTCTCTTTCTTTCTCTACCACCACTGGTGCCAAGCCTCCTTTCCATTCCTACCTTTCCCCCCCTTCAATTAAACCACAAAAACCCAATATTCTCGATCTGACAAGGCTGCACAATGGGGAACCCATCTCGGTTCCCAAATCTACAAATAAGTTCCTAGATCCATAGTGACGCAGCTGCAACTCAATAATAAATTTGTCCTTTAGTTTTGATTTTAAGTTTCTTTGGCATTTGGGATTTTTATTGCTGTGTTTTGATCCTTTGTTCTTTGTTGATAGATTTCTCCTTTTTTTGTAATTGAAGATTTATGTATTTATTCATAAACTATGACCATAATCTTCAAATTTGAGTTGTTAATCTGATTTTTGTGGAAGGGAATGCAATAGGGTTCAAACGCAAAATTGGTTTTGAAACAATTTCTCAAGCAATCTACTGAAGTGAAGAAAATTAATATGAGGTAATTCTAACATGAAAAGCAAAAGTTGAGGAACATATTTCAATTTGGAAAATATGCGTTCTTTATTTATTTGTCTATGAAAGATTAAAAATTACTAGGTGGAAATGAAAAACTGCCATCTCATCACTTTATGTGTTTTATCTTTTACACGTCATTATTGAAAGATAAAAAGATATGATTTTTTGGAAGTTAACATAGACAGAAGGACTAAACTAGTATGAAAAATTGAAGTTCAAGGACATTTTTGGTACTTTTAAAGTTTAAAGACAAATTTGATATTATATCAAAAAACTGAATTAGTATTTTAACCTTAATTTTTAGACAAAATAGAGTTTCAAATTATTTAAATAAGTTGATAAATAATACAATTATATTAATTAATGTCTTAAGTATCAAATAAAATTTAATAGAGTAAACAAAACTAATTAATAAATTAAGTTTTTGATATAAAAAGGATTTTTTTAAGAATAAGAATTAATTAAATTATAACAATTTTAACCAATGAATAAAGGCAAGAGTGTGAAGATTTGAAATTTTAGCAACATGATACACGTCGGTGATAGATTATAAGATTTGAAAGTCATATAGATGTTAGCAACATGAAATACTTTGCTAATGGAGTACTTAAACTTTCAACAACATGATATATGTTGCTAAAAGTTATATATATACCACACCCCAACAGCATGATGAGCCATCTCTGCAGATTATTCTTTTAATTTTGCTTCCATTCTCCTACATCCTCTTTGCCTCTCCTCCTCATCTCAACCTCTTTTTTTTTTTTTTTTCCATGTATATTTTACTTATTTTCTTTTATCATGAAATTCTCATACATATATTAATAATTGAATAAATTTCCATCAATTACTTCATTCTCTTGAAGCA